CTCTTTCCTGCTCCACATTGACCAACTGCCAGAAACGGTCTTGCCAATAGAGTTTTGTTGGCCAGGCATGGTGGCTCATGCCTGTAATCCCAGCACTTTGGAAGCCCGAGGTGGGTGGGTCACCTGAGGTCAGGAGTTCGAGACCAGCCTGGCCAACATATTGTGAAACCCTGTTTCTACTAAAAAAAAGAAAAAAAATAGCTGGGCATGGTGGCACATACCTGTAGTCCCAGTTACTTGGGAAGCTGAGGCAGGAGAATTGCTTAAACCCAGGAGGCGGAGGTTGCAGTGAGCTGAGATCTTGTCACTGCACTCCAGCCTGGGCAACAGAGCAAGACTCCATCTCTAAAAAAAAAGAGTTTTGTCCTCTGACCACCATGTCTATCTAGATATCTAGGCAGATTTAATTTATGATTAATTTGACCTCTTAATCCCATTAAAGGGAAATGAAGAGCATATGTTTTCAATGTAAAGTATATTCATTTTATTTTTAATAAGTTGGAACTAGTAGTAAACCGAGGGTGTCTCTCTAGTATAGTCTTAAGACAACCCATGGTAAAACAAATCTCTTTACTAGGACTTTCTTTTTCACATTTTAGTTCCTAGTTATCCAGAGTCCGGAATATTTAAGAGTTGAAGAGTCTTTCTATGACTGAGATGGTCTGCGGGGGTTTATAAACAAGCATTCACTTGTCCAACAAGCCTAGGGCCACTCTTTATGGAAGCCAGTTTGTCAGCTGGTCTGGGAATTTTTAATTTAAAATACGGTATGTTGTTTAACTTGAATAGGTATAAAGTCTACAAGTGTAATTTGCATATATAGGCTAGTGCCTGAAGATTTGGGTAGGACAAAAAGGAAAGAAGAGATAATGTTTGCAGATTTAGGAAGTTTCATTATATAGAACTTCAGGGGCCCGTGGGCTCTAATTTGTGGAGACAGTATAAAGACGAAGAATTAGAAAATCAGAATTCTCTTCTGGAGCCTACATCGGGGTTGTCCTGAGAAAAGATTATGATACGAGGAACATAATCCATGGTGTGGTTAGCAGCCCAGAATCAGCAGACAGTTCTTGACTCATGCATTTGGGGGTGAGACTGGAGACACTGGCGGACGGTATAGCCTGTTGAAGCTGTGCACTCTTCATCTTAGCCTCTCCAAAACTCCAGAGACAAATGTCAGACAAATATACTCCCATTATGAAGAATATTAAAACAAAAAAAAAATGAGGAAAAATTGGCAGAATTCATAAACATTCGCAATAGGCAGCCTGAAGGTTTAATTTTAGCATCATGAGATATGAAAGTTTGAAGAGCTATAGTTAAATGCACACAAAAGAGAATTGAAAGCTGAACAAGAAAAAAGAGACTCTCAGAAACCATTAGATAACTTTTTAAAAAGCATTAAATGGGATGTCTAGAAATGATCCCTAAAATGACTGAAAGAAAATGGAGAAAGTGAAGAGCAGATTAATGCTCATTGAAGAGATTTCAAAGACATTAATTTCAAAGACAAATCTGAAGAAGTTACCCAGAACAACACAAAAAACTAACTGTATAATATGAAACAGAAGTGAAGCAACAGAGAAGAAACAATGGAGGTTTCAGTTATATTCGAATATATGTAACATTTCATAAGAATTTCCCATTTATTCTTATATGTCATTGAAGTATAAGAGAAAGAAAATAAGGAGAATGATAAGAGGTGATATTGTGTGTGATACTAGCTGAGAAATTTCCAGGACAACTAAAGACCTAAAACCTGAGTTTCAAGAATTCAAATAAATCCCAGGTTAAATAGTTACCTCAGTGTTAAAATAGAAGAATATGAATGATGAAGAGACGATTTTTAAAGCAGTCCAAGAAAGATAAATATCTTGCAAAGGAATAGACTGAGACCAACAGAAATAGTGAAGAAAGAGAGTTAAAAATATCTATAAATGCAGATTATAGTCCTCATTCATCAAAGAGACAAGGAGACCTCGGCAGTTCATATTCTGAACCCTTGGGCTGGTGACCTGAAATATATTTGGCTGAGTGTTCTCATTTGTAAACTGAATTCAATTTGCAGAGTTTTGTTTGTTTGTTTGTTTGTTTGAGATGGAGTCTTGCTCTGTCACCAGGCTGGAATTCAGTGGCATGATCTCGGCTCACTGCAACCTCCACCTCCCAGGTTCAAGCAATTCTGCCTCAGCCTCCCGAGTGGCTGGGACTAAAGGCACACACCACCAAGCCCAGCTAATTTTTGTATTTTTAGTGGAGATGAGGTTTCACCTTGTTGGCCAGTCTTGCAGAGATTTTAGAGAGATAACTTTAAAAACTAGAGTCATCTAAAGTACAGGTTCAATAAATCTTAGGTCCCTATAAATTCTCTGACAAATCTCCAGTCTAGCTCAGTTATTTACTCTCTGAAATTCTGGTAACAAAGGCAAGCACAGATTACTTTTGCCTGATTCAACCATGTTTCAGACACAAAGTCATCTAAAATGCAAATATAGTAGTCTGATAGTTCATTATGCAAAAGTAACATAAAGAGTTGCCATTTAAGGAAATATGAGAATGTTCCCCCTTATGAACTTCCTGCTTGATAACTGAGTTTGATATGCATGAAGGTGTGGTGCGCCCAGAAAGACATGGCTTCAGTGCAATTGGCCATCACACAACAGAGCTGATAGAAGAAGGCACAACTTTATTGGAAAGGAGATCACAGAGGAGCTTCTAGTGGCTTCCATGACCTCCTCTCCATCCCTCTCTGACTTCAGCCTTGCTGCCGTGGACAGTGCCAGTTCCCATTCACCTCCTGCTGACTGTGCCCTTCCACACTGTCTGCTGGGAATGTTGCTGCTGCCTGCTCTGGGGCCTTCTCTGATATTATCTGAATTCACCTGGGCTGTACTCAAAGACAGCCAGAGGTCCTGATGCTCCTGGTGGAACAGGACAGGGGGACAAAAGCTCCAACCTGCCCATTCATGCAGATACTCCAGAGAGCACCCTATGCTCTTGGAGGTCCTGATGGATTCCATCTCCTGTTGCCCCAGCACACATAGAATATTGCACCTTTATCCTGGTTTCTCCCTTCCCTATTTTGTTTTTCTTGCTCTCTTACTTCTTCTTGGAATCATTTCCCAAATCAGCTACATACACCCAAGTCTCCCCATCACAGACAGTCTTCAGAGACAGACTAAACTGTGGCAGTGATGGAATGAAGCGACCATCGAAAGATCCTTCCTTTTGAAGGAGACCACTGTTTATCTTTTATTCATACTGCTACTCATTCATTTAAAAAGTCTTATGATGATGTATACAAACTCATCTTTTCCAAATCCATTTGGATTCATCTGGAGTTCCCAACATTCTCAGGATGGCTCTCTGCTCCCTTAAAACTTCAAACTTGTTTTGAACTGAATACAGAAGTAGAATCTGCCTGGACTCAGATAATCATTCATTCCTTTCTTCATTCATTCAACAAACGTTTAATAAGTTATAGGTGAAGACTAGATTCAAGTTTTGTGGGACACAAAGCTGATACATTTTAGGTAGCTCTTTGCAAAAGAGAATGCAAAATAGCAAAGTGTTGAAAAGATCCTGTGCAAGTGAGAAGGCCTGAGGTTATTCTTCACTGGCTTCGTGGCAACTCCATAGGTACTGTTCAGGTACTTGGGAAACACCAGTGCAAAAAACAGACAAAACTTCAAGTTGAGGTAGATAATTTTAACATGTAATTATTGTAATTTATTACACTTAATAATAAATTAATTTGAAAGTAGAAGGATACATTCCTGGTAGGTGCTTATCTCCCCAGAGAAATTAGAGTGTTGCTGAGAATACCAACATTCTTGGTAGATCATACCTGATTTAGGGAACGATCCTTAGAGCTCTGTAATTCTATGTGCCTTGCCTTGCAAAATGAAGGTCCTGATCTGAAAAGCTTTTTTTTTTTTTTTTTTTTTCCCTGCCCTGGCCCAACCATGAGGATTGGCTCCTTTGCTGTGTGGTTCTTAGTCTCCCAGGATCAGGTGAGTTCTGGGCATAGATGAGAAAGTCCTTCCTGGGCTTGCCAGGCCCTAACCACAGCCTCCTATGGGGGTGCTCATGGGCCTCCTCCCTGTCTCCACTTCTGATTCTGTGTCCTCTCTCACTGGAGCGTGATTGTGGGAATTACTCATCCAGGTTGCATCAAGATGTGCAATAGATAACCTATTGTATCTGAAATAACTATTGCACTGCTATGGACTAGATGTGAGTTTTGCACCATAGCACATTTACGAATCCATCAACCTTCTCCAATTTGGTGAATATAAGATCTTCTGGATGGGAATAGAGCCTTTTCCTGTGACCCTAGAGGCTCCAGATAGGTGTAGTTCTGGATGAACATTTCATCCACATTCCTAATGATTAGCTTCCTCTCTTCTTCACAGGAAGTAAAGTCACTCAGGAGACTTAGATGATGCAGTGTTTGCGGCTTCACCTGAAGCAAAGGGGGAAAACATGCCCATGAGAACACACAGCAGCCTGAACTTGGATGGTGACACTCCCATCAGGTGTAATGAGGGGCTATAGCATGAAGCAAGTCTTCAAACGGTAATGACCTTGAACCCTGAACTTCGAACTTGGAGACCTTTCTGGATGTCATTTAACCGAGGTATCCCTGTAGGCTGACATACAAGTGTCCAGAGCTTAAACGAAGAGGAGAATAATTCAATTTGGAGTTGAACTTTGTGCAGGAAGTCATAAAAGGCACCAGGACTGCTATGATAATGTTCTTTAGCCTAGAGAAATATTCATAAAAGTGAAAATAGTATTCAAATAAAGAATTTCTCATAATGGAAATAAAATATACATAGAAGAACAAATTCCCCTACTAAAATCAGGGAAAGAGTTAAGGAGTTTATTAGATTTCTTTCAAAACAGACCTAAAAATTATTCAACTCTGTTATAAATGATTTGTTCCTGTGGGGAAGAGAAGGGGCGTGGCAGGTTAGCTCTGCAGTTCAAGCATTTAGCAGGGACAGTGACATCATCAAGTCACTTAGAGCCCAACTTCAATTTGCCCACAGCAGGGCTGGGAAACACAAGATCCTGCCCTGGAGCTGAAATGGGCACCAGGCTCTTCTTCTATGTGGCCCTTTGTCTGCTGTGGGCAGGTGAGGGCCGGTCACAGGAGGGCCTCCTTCCCTGGAATTCCCAAGGCCTCAATGCAAGCTTTTCTATTGGGATGGCAGCATCAGTATCTGTTGTTCTCTATTACAGGACACAGGGATGCTGAAATCACCCAGAGCCCAAGACACAAGATCACAGAGACAGGAAGGAAGGTGACCTTGACGTGTCACCAGACTTGGAACCACAACAATATGTTCTGGTACCGACAAGACCTGGGACACGGGCTGAGACTGATCCATTACTCATATGGTGTTCCAGACACTAACGAAGGAGAAGTCCCAGATGGCTACAGTGTCTCTAGATCAAATAAAGAGGATTTCCCCCTCACTCTGGAGTCTGCTGCCTCCTCCCAGACATCTGTATATTTCTGCGCCAGCAGTGAGTCCACAGTGCTGCACAGCTGCCTCCTCTCTGCACATAAAGGGCAGTTAGAATGATTGAGGTTGCCTGTGCTCCCAAGTCCCAGCCTTCATAGGAGTCAGAGAGCCCTGGCTAGCCTGGGGGCCGTAGAGCAGGAACCATATGACCCTTGGTGTTGAGGTCCATTCCTACCCCAGTCTCAGACCAACTGGAGGTCACCCCAACACCCTTAGCTTCTGCAGTTCCCTATTTCCTTTTGTAAAATGGAAAAGGCATCTTTAGTTGAGATTCCTAATTTCCTTGACAATTTGAAACCCTCCCCTAAGGGATGGGTGACTTGTCCATCTACCCTTTCCCCTACCCTGTACCACCCTTCAACTCACAATCATAAATCTTTGCCCATGTGGTCTCTGCTCCTGGGAGGCCTTTCTTCTAAGGGTAATAGACCCACGAGGTCCTGTATCATTAGCCATTTACCTACCTCTTCATCGTCATTTTGCACCATGTTTTCCCTGGCTGTCTGCTCCAGTCACGCTCCCCTACATGCAGTTATTTCTTCATATGTGTCCATTGTTTTCCACCCTGGGGATTGTTTATACAAATTCTTTCTTCTGCACTGAGTGTACATACCACCCACTTAGTCCTACATCTCTACTTCATTTCTTAAATTAAAGTGTATTTCAGGCACACTTGCTCTTAACTGTAAAGAGCAAAAAAGAAAGTTTACTAGAAAAATATTTTATGCATTCATTTGGGGGATGACTTTTTTAGAGGAGACAAAAAAAGCCACAAGCCAAAAGAACAATATTCATAACGCTAATTACATTAAATTGTTTCAAGCCAAAACACACCATAAAAATTAAAAAGTTAAGCTACAGCTTGGGAAAGGCATGAGGAATGCATACAAATGATGAGAAATTAGTGTGACAGAGAACATTCAGTGTGACAGAGAACATTCGGTGTGACAGAGAACATTCAGAACAGCACTGAATACCCGTAGCCCCTCCATGGTTTCTGGCCTCCTTTGCATTTGGAGGGTTGGGAACATGTCACCAGGTTCTGAGGAGTGGGATAAAATGATGTCAGCTCATTTCAAGCCTGGCCCTTAAAAACATTTTGTAGCACTGTGTTGAGGGTCTTTAAATGTACTCCCGTGTTTAGAGTGTCGGTACATGGCACAGAGTTGTCCTCATGGCTAAGATTTATTAAAATGTCATAGTAAATACTCTGCGGCAGATCATAAGGAGAAAACACACAGGTGGAATCTGGAGGAATTCACAGGCGGGCTTCTTTATGCTCTCTTCCTCCCAGGAGGGGACACACAGAGCTCTCTCTCCTCCCAGCAGCAAAAATGCATGAACACATGTGCACGGTTTCTGCCAAGGCAGCCCATTACAGACTTAGCATCCAAGAGGGTTTAGTAGAGGCTGTTCACACAGGCACCTACTGTCTAGCATGAACCAAAAGTCTAGATCCCAGAAGGAAATCTGATGTTCAGCATAATTATTATTTGCAACACCAGCCTAGGCACAATGAGCCACCCCTCTCAGTCAGGAGAAACTTTACGTCAGTTCAGGATACTGTTCACTAGTCAAGTTCCCAGATTTCAGCCAAGTCCAATCTTGCAAGCAGGACTTTCTAAGCACTGCAGTCTCCAGCCTCCTGTCAACTCTTGTGCACAGACACTCTTCAACTCTCTTTTGCCATGTCTTGAACTTGGGAGCTACATGGTACAGTTTGGCTGATGATAATATGGAAGCAGCCTGGCTCACTGGGTCATAATTTGGTGGACAATCACTGAGGAAAGCTGCTCATGCCACACTGGACTTCGTGGTCATGGGAAGTAAGAGTTCACAGAGCTACACTGGCGAGATTTTAGGATTTGGTTTGTTTGTTTTGTTTTCTGTAGCACAGCTGTTCTTGTCTAAGAGAATTAGTATCTAGAATAAGTAAAATATTCTTATTACTTAATATTAAGAAGACAACCCGGCCGGGCACGGTGGCTCACGCCTGTAATCCCAGCACTTTGGGAGGCCGAGACGGGCAGATCACAAGGTCAGGAGATCGAGACCATCCTGGCTAACATGGTGAAACCCCGTCTCTACTAAAAATACAAAAAATTAGCCGGGCGAGGTGGCGGGCGCCTGTAGTCCCAGCTACTCAGGAGGCTGAGGCAGGAGAATGGCATGAACCCGGGAGGCGGAGCTTGCAGTGAGCCGAGATCACGCCACTGCACTCCAGCCTGGGTGACAGAGCAAAACTCAGTCTCAAAAAAAAAAAAAAAAAGAAGACAACCTAATAAAAACAGCAATACTGAGGCTGAGTAGGCAATTCACACAAGAGTGAATGCAAGTTACCACTAAACATGAGAATATATTTTCAACCTTACTTACAATCAGAATATTGTAACCTGAAACAGTAAGTTATGATTTCAAAATTGCTAGACTGGATACTTTTCCAAGGAATGACAGTCCTACATTTGACTAGACATATGGACTAGTGAAAATTGTTCATATAGTTATTACAAAAAATAATTACAACTACATCAGAAAACTCACTGTGGCATATATTGTGACAAACCACGTTTCTGGAAAATTTATCAGCGTATTTAAATCCCTTGGGTTCCTTTCATTGTCTTTAAGTTCAATAACGGAGAATGCAGCTGTCACTGGTTTCCCTATTTTGAAGGTAGTCTTTCCATCTTTTAAAAAGTATGGTAAAATGAGTGTAGCATATAATGTTGTCAATTTATTTTTTAAATGTACAATTCAGTGGCATTAAGTACATTCACCTTGTTGTTGAATTATCAGCATTATCCACTTCCAAAATTATTTTCGTCACCCCAAACAGAAACCTTGTACCCATTAAGTAATAACTTCACTTTCCCCCTCCTCTGGCAAACTCTATTTTCTCTATGAACAAATTTGCCTATTGTAGATAATACATTTCTATGAAATCAGGGAATATTTTTCCTTTTGTTTCTGGCTTCTTTCACTTAGCATAATGCTTTCCAGATGCATCCATATTGTGGCATTGATCAGAACTTCATTTCTTTTCACTCTCAATTATATTCCATTGTATGTATATAATACATTTGTTTATTCATGCATTAGTCAGTTGACATTTGAGTGGTTTCCATCTTGCAGATATTGAGAACAATGGTGCAGTCAAGATTGGTCTGAAAATACCTGTTTGATTCCTTGTTTTCAATTCTTTTGGATATAGACCTAGGAGTGGAACTTCTGGGTCCTTTGGTAATTCTGTTTCTCATTTTGAGTAACTACCAAAATGTTTTTTTGTTGCAACTGCACGATTTTAGCTTTCCACCAGCAATGTCCATTTTCTTCACATTTCCAGTACTTGTTATTTCCTTTTCTTTTTCTTTTCAAAAATATGATGATGATGATTACTATTTTTATAGCCATCCTAGTAAGTGTGAATAATATCTCATTGTGGTTTGATTTGCATTTACCTAATGACTAAAGATGCTACAAGTCTTTTCTTGTGCCTATGGGCAATTTGCATACCTCTTTGGAGGTAATATTTATTTTATTTGATTGCGTTTTTAGAGTCTCCACTGACTTTAGATTTACACTGGTGTAGTGCAATGATACTAAAGGAAATTGAGATTAAACTTCTCTTGGGTGATGTGTTATGGCTAATGTTCTTAGTGCAGTACTTCTGAGACATTTTTGGTACTGTAGAAGAGAGAAATAAGTAATTTATTGATATTTCCTGGAATTAGATTTTTTACAAAGAGAAGAGAGATATAAATAAGAAACAGGGGAAGATGAGGAAGAAATCTGTGGTGCTGATTTGAATTGGAGTTATTAATACGAACCTAAGATTTTAAAGATTATATACTTCCTAACTCTATCCAGGGAAGGGTCTAAAAAACAATACAAAGTAAATTAACTAATGGCTGTATTTGCTTTTTGTTTGTGTTCCCCAGTAACAATAGGTACATTACTTTATTCCAAATGTGATTCCTTATAAAAGGCTGCTTCCATATCAAGGGAAGGAAAAATGTTAGAAGATCTTTTGATAGAAATTAAGAAAAAAGTCAGAACCAAGAAGACAGGTCCAAAATCCATAGAAGCCATTTCAAGGGGCTCCATTAGCCAAATCCGGGTCAATGCAAGCATTAAAGAAGATAAATGAAGATACTGATTTATAACAAGTTATAAAAATCTATGAGGCTATAATGACAATAAAAAGAGATAGATAAGAATGTCTTTATTACAGAAGAATGCTAGTTGATATATCTAATTAGAAAATCAATGTAACCGTTTGATAATTATAGACAAATTCCATCAGTAGATGCCTAAACTAACAGTCTTTGTTTCCTTCAGCACTTTGAATTAACTGTTCTGCTCTCTCCTGGCCTGTTGGGTTTCTGCTAAGAAATCTGCTAAAGGCTGTACTGGGGCTCCCTTAAATGTGGTATGTTTCTCACTGCTTGCTGCTGTTAGTATTCTTTCTTTGGCTTTGATTTTTGGTAATTTGATTATATTGTGTCTTGGTGAACCCCTTTTTGAGTTAAATTTGATTGGCAGCCTCCAAGCTTCCTGCACCTGGATGTTGCTGTCTTTCCCCAGATTTGGGAAATTTTCAATGATTATTTCCTTATATATGTTTTTGGGGCCTAACAGCATATGTACATTGTTTCAAAGCATCAATACACAGATTACTATTTAATTACAAAGGGTAAAGGGGCACATTCACAATGGAGAGATCTGGGATCAGTCATCTCAAATTTAGCATTGCCAAAATGCATACAAATGACATTCCATGTTCTTGTGATTGACAGGATGCAATGGGAAATAGACGTTATCTATGGTGCATATTTCCCAAGTAATTAACCTCTAATAATATGAAAATTGTTATTGTGAGCTGTTTTACAAGTAAGCTGACCAGGACACTTCAAAAATCTATGGTCATGAAAAACCGAAAATATAGCAAATGGCTGGAGGAGATGTATCGTTGAAAAGTAACTAAAGAGATCCGACAACCTCCTGAAATACATGATCTTTGATATTGCCCTAGAGGAAAAAGTAAATCAAAACCAAGGGACATGTTGAGACAACTGGAGAAATTTGAATGTAAAGTATATACTGGATAATGATGCTATATGAATGCTAATTTTTTGAGTGTAATAGTGACATTTGTGGTTATGTAAGATAATGCCAATTGTTTAGAAGAGACATATTGAATTACTAAGGAAAAAACGTTTCAGAAATTAAGGGTAAAATATACAGAGAGATATAAAGGTCATAAAATGTTAACAATTGGTATACAGATGTACATTTTAAGATTCTGTTTGTTTTATTGTTCTCTAAACTTTTCCATAGGTGTTCAGTTTTTAAATAAACTTTGAATGAAATGTATTAACAGACCAAAATAAAATGTTGGCATTATTTCAGTGTAATGTTGGGTATCTCTTATATTTAGTTTTAATATCTTTGAAATATTCTGTCAATATCATAAATAAATATAAAAGATAAGGTCTTTTCTAGCCCTATAAAATACTTTTTTCATAGGAGACAGGCTATAATTTTTAAGAAAGTTTCAAAAGAAGATAAGATAATTTACAGTTTGAGGACAAAACAGCTTGATATCCCTGAAACCGGCACAAAACTTAGTTAACAATGCATGCCAGGAGGCCATTTAACAAATGTTTTCTCTGTGTCAGGATATTCTGAGCATTCTACAGTTTGGCTAAAACTCAAAAGCTTTCAAAGGTGATTGAATGTAAACAGAAAAATAGTGATTTTGCCAAGTTAAGGCTGGGCAGTACGTATTTGTGTGAGGGGGAGAGGGGCTGCCTTAATCCGTCTTCTGCTGCTGTAACAGAATACCTGAGGCTGAGAAACGTCTAAAGAGAAAAGGTTTACTTGGCTTACAATTCTGGAGGCTGGAAAGGCCAAGACCAGGGCACCAACCTCTGGGCTTCTTTTGAGGGCTCTGTGCTGTGTCACAACCTGGAAGAGAAGTGGAAGAAAGAGCAGGCCTGTGCAAGGAAAACCGGGATGAGCAAGACCCTCACTTTGTACCAGCCTGCTCTTACAGTGACTAATCCAGATCCTGGAGAGAAAGAACTGACTCCTGGCATTAATCTTCCATGAAGAGTCCAACCCCATGACCCAAACAACTCCCATGTGGCTCAAAATTGCTACATTGAGGCTCAAAATTGCTGCATTGAGGACCAAGATGAGTTTTGTTGGGGACAAACCACAGCCAAACTGCAGGCGGGGCTCTGGCAAGACAGTAGGAATAGATGGAGCTGGGAGGAATTCCCCCTAGTTCCTCACAAACGCTGTCTGATATTAGCCCTGATTCTACTGAGGACAGTATAGACATGGCCCCAGTATTTCTGACCCATGAATCAAGAGCCTGAGCCTGGTAACTCTGAGCCATTGGCCAGTAGGCGGCACTAGGGTTTGCTGGGGTTGGCTTGCTTTTAAATCAGGGGTCAGTGCTGTCTGAGGAGTTAAGTTTAAAGGAAAAGTGTGGCTTCATCCCAGCATTCAGGATCTAGTTGGCAGATGTGAGTGGCCAGTGGAATGTGAGACATTAAATGGAAACTCTTCATCCCCCATCGATTCAGGTAGGTAACCTCTGTTCAGCAGGGAAATCCCAACTGTAGCAAATCATTGAGTGAAGAATGTTCTGGGCTTGCATGGGGATAGATGGAGGAGAGCCAGGAGCCAACCTGCATGCTCAGAGACCCATAGAAAGGGAGAATCACTTCCTCCTCAGGAGAACTCAGAGAAACCTTAGGAATTCACCTGTACCCCACAACTAACCCATTCCAGTTGTGCCCTGGATGGTGGACAGGAGGATGTAAAGGGAACATAGGAGAGGGGAGTGGACAATTCCAGACCTCTGCAGATAGGCTTATCTCAAATAACCCCGCAAATATTCTGAATAAGAACCAGATGTCCCAGGGCTCTGGCCTTTTCTTCCCTGAGCAGCATGATGATGCCTCATTCCTGCCTTGACAAAGATTCTGTCATGAATTTCTCAGTTGTGCTGCCCAGGAAGCAGGTGCGGCCCGGGAACAATGAGGAATGTCCTCCCTGGACTTGGCATGCCTCACCCGCAAGCACACCACATGTAGGTCCTGTGACTGATAGGTTTGATAGACAGATAAGTCCTGTTTCCAGCCACCAGCCTCTATCCCCTGAATGCTGTTGTCACTCAGAGCCACAACCCTGGTCACAAAGATGGAGCAGGTAGTGGCACCTTAATGTGAAGAAATTTTCCACCATGCAATTATTACCTGGTGCCTACATGAGTTTGACTCAAACCAGCAGTTGTTTACCTCAGTGATAGAAGATTTATGACAGAGACAGAAGGTTCTTGTAATTCTACACCCACAGGTGTTCACCTGATAACCTTGACATGTGTCCTGTAGGTTTTGGGGGTTTGGTGGAAATCTCTGAGCCCACCTCGCTGAACACATATATCCTTGTTCCCAGCTCTCTGGACATGCATCTCCTTGTATTGTTGTCTTATGCCAACACTCAGGTGCTTCATCCCCTAACTCTTCCCATCCTTTACCCCTTAGGCAATGAATAAAAGTATATTTGTGACTAATGTCGCCCCATTAGGAAAAAAATGCCAGATACTAGCCTCTGCTGTTCAGTTGTAAATTACACTAAATCTACAAGGTTTTTTTTTTTTTTTTCAAGATTTCAACAAATCTGATTTTGGATTCCTTACAGTATCCACAATGATGTTTTCAGGGATAAGAGAGTCCTCACCCATCTTATAAGATATCAGAACTTTCATTACATAGATGACCAAGAACCACAGGCAGAACCGTGATGAAGATTTGGTACACAATACATCATGAAGACTGTACAGAAAAGAGAAAATTGGTCATGGACCTTCACAAAAAATGAACCCTTCCAACTCTCTCAGGGTATTATTTTACCCCTTTAGCTTAGAGCATGTCAGCTGGCTCAACATGCTTCTAGGATAAACCTGTGTCAACTACCCCAGCTCCCGCTCTGTCTAAGCTCAGAGCAATGAGAAGATGGAGAACCTGGTAAGACAGAAATGCCCAAAGAGAAGGATATACAGATAAGACACAGAGGTTACGAATTGCTGTCTGTACTTTGAGTTGCCTTTGACACATTCAAGTAGAAACATCCAGCAGAGGATGGGTTTCATGCACGTCTGTGTGAAGAGACCACCAAACAGGCTTTGTGCGAGCAACAAGGCTGTTTATTTCACCTGGGTGCAGGCGGACTGAGTCCGAAAAGAGAGTCAGTGAAGGGAGATAGGGGTGGGGCCGTTTTATAGGATTTGGGTAGGTAAAGGAAAATTATAGTCAAAGGGGGTTGTTCTCTGGTAGGCAGGGGTGGGGGTCACAAGGTGCTCAGTGGGGGAGCTTTTGAGCCAGGATAAGCCAGGAAAAGGAATTTCACAAGGTAATGTCATCAGTTAAGGCAGGAACAGGTCATTTTCACTTCTTTTGTGGTGGAATGTCATCACTTAAGGCAGGAACCGGCCATCTGGATATGTACGTGCAGGTCACAGGGGATATGATGGCTTAGCTTTGGCTCAGGCCTGACAAGGGGCCTGGAGATGCAGTGGGTGATCCAATCCCCCAAACCCTAGAGATGTGAGTGAAGACACCTTGATGAACTTACACACAGTCCATGAATATGCTAAAGCAACTTCTAACTCTGTTTTAGTTCATAATAATTGGTTTCTAAGAACTTAGGCATTTGTGGAGACAAAGATGTCACTGTAGGAACTGCCACATAAGGACAGGGGCATCCCTCCTCCTGTGCTCCTGTTCACAAGGATCCTGAACTGGCAAAGCTCCCATCCTGCCTTGACCCTGCCATGGGCACCGGGCTCCTCTGCTGGGCGGCCCTCTGTCTCCTGCGGGCAGGTGAGTCCTAAGAACACCATGATCACCCCATTGGAAATTCCAGTGATTACTTCAGTCATTTCTGTCTTTCTGTTTTCAAATTCTGTCTTTTTTTCCCCAACAGAATTCACAGAAGCTGGAGTTGCCCAGTCCCCCAGATATAAGATTACAGAGAAAAGCCAGGCTGTGGCTTTTTGGTGTGATCCTATATCTGGCCATGCTACCCTTTACTGGTACCGGCAGATCCTGGGACAGGGCCCGGAGCTTCTGGTTCGGTTTCAGAATGAGGGTGTAGTAGATGATTCACAGTTGCCTAAGGATCGATTTTCTGCAGAGAGGCTCAAAGGAGTAGACTCCACTCTCAAGATCCAGCCTGCAGAGCTTGGGGACTCGGCCGTGTATCTCTGTGCCAGCAGCTTAGCCACAGCGGTGCAGAGACACTTCCCTCCTGTGCACAAAACTGCAGGGCTCTCTCCTCTCTATCAGCTCACAGCGGCCTTTCCTTATTCCTCATCCTCCCAGGGAAGAAGCGAGTTTTCAGATATAGCTAGGATTCACATAGTGGGAGGAAATGAACTATTTCTTAAAACATGAGCGCTATCATTGTTGGTTGAAAATATGTCTCAGGGATTTGAAAGACTTCTGGGTGGGAATTCAAGAAACCAAAACTGAAAGTGATTTATCACAGGTGCAGTGATGGTTGTTCTTCTATAAAAAATGCGTATAATGCTGTATGTTAATTAAGAAAATAAATACACAAACTTGAAAAATAAAAACATTTAATCACCAAAACATGTGTGTTAAACTTTAATAATATAGATATTGATTTCATGCAAGTAACAAACAGCAGGCCCTCCTTCTGCCCTTGTCAGCATCTGAATGATTTGAATCTTATCCTGGCTCTGGAATCTCTTCTTGACCTGGCACTGGATGTTTCATGCAATCAAATCTCAACAGATACTATGTGTTTGGAAATCCTTTCCCTCTGTTTTTGTGGAAATATGACAATGATCATAATATTGTAATGATGATGATGTTGATCATTTCAGCTATTTCATTCAGCACACTTTAAACTTCAAAGAAATGCACACAAATTGTTATCTTGGAAACAATTCCCAAATCTTAGCTCAAAATGAATTTTGCTTCACTGGAGTGCTTTAACTTTTCAATGTAACAGACATAGCCCAACATTATAGGTAGTCCTGGGCCAGCTAGTTCAGAGGCTGGTGAGGACACTTCTACTTGTCTGCCCATGTGCTTGTCTGCTCATTAAAATAGCTCCTTAGTGCGTTAGATATTCCTGCCAGAACTTCGGAAGCAATGAACTGCCTCTGGTCCAATTGTCTCCCCTAATAATGCAATGTGTGTGTCCAAGTCTAGTCTCTACCCTAACTTCTGCCGGATTCTCTTGTATTAGAAATCATTCTGAAGTAGTGGTTAGAATGCTTGGCAAGGCAGCTTCCTGGGAATCCTCTGAAGGACCGTGGCTGTCAGTGATTCCCTCGTTTCACTTCTTGAGAGCATCTTGTATTTCACTGAACGTAGGACTCTCAGTTATTTCAGTCTGTCTGTTCCTGTTCACCTCTGAGATCTTTGTGGCTTGTTTGTGTTGATTTTCTTTTGTGCTGCTTCTCAGTCATTTGTTTGTATTTTTCCTTATAAACCTGATTATTTTCAACATTGTGCCAGACACTATGGTTGTAGAAATAATTTTGGTCTAGGATGACATAGCTTTCTCCAGAGATAATTTTACTGTGCTTTGTAAAGTGCATGGATGCGTAAACAATCCAGGACTCCCTGAAACAGAATTCAAGGCTTGAGGTATCCTGGAGCCCCTGGAGAGCAGGTTTCCTACTAGTTCATTGTTTCTATTCAAGTTCCTCAATGGTCACACTCAGTGAAGTCTGGTCTTACCCTTTACCCCCGCCGGCCTGTGAGTCAGCTTCCTGAGAGCTGGGCTGGAATCAGCAAATGCCCCTAAGGACAGTGACTGCTGTGCTCACTCTCCAGGCTCCTGCCTTCTTCAAGATTCTGGACCAGATATCCCTCATAATGTTTTCGGGATATTAATTAGCTGCAGTTTGTGTTAGTGTGGTAATTTACCCAACGATTTAAATAATAACAGAAGCGTTAATTTTGTTACAAGAAAGGGATCCTGATCCAACCCCCAAGAGAAGGTTCTTGGATCTCATGCAAGAAAGAATTCAGGGTGATTCCACAGTGCAAAGCCAAAGCAAGTTTATTAAGAAAATGAAGTGGTGAAAGAACAGCTACTCCATAGACAGAGTAGGGCTTTCCCAACAGTAACAGGAAGAGCACATCTACCCTAGGTACAATACTTGTTTATATATAGGACAAGAAAAGATCGTTGAGAGATGTGCTCTGCTACGAGGGTTTGTGATAAAGGATTAATTTTCTTAATTACTATGTTTTGCAAGAAGCGATATTATAATCTTTAAAGTGAAATTTGGAACGTTTCTGTTCTCAAGATATTGGGGTATCATGACATTCCCAAGTCTGGGTCTGTTTAGTAAACATTATTAATCTGCTGCTTTAACCGTAAACATCTAGAGGTTAGGAATACCTGACTTTCTGGGAATGCAGCCCAGCAAGGCCCAGCCTCATTTCTTTCACTTAAGATGGAGTCACTCTGGTTCGAACACCTCTGACAGTTTGAGTTTCCTCTTCTGTAATTACTCAGATGAAGGTCAGAGAATTTTATTTAAAGTTTTAATTTTCTTTGAATTTCAATGTCAGATTCTTAGTCTGTGATTTGCTTGATATTTAACTTACTGAAACTTTAATTTCGAGGAAAGGACTTTTTTTAAACTTGAAGAGGATTTATAATCAAATTGGGACACTCACTTGATTTTGACATTTTATCATTCAGAATATTATTATGTTGTTAATTACATAACCTTCGACGCTTCATTGGAACAGGGTAATGAGAATAGAGAGTAAATATTTAAATTTGATCAGATCTTTGACACACCTGACAAAAACAAGCAATGGGGAAAGTATTACCTATTTCATAAATGGCGCTGGGAAAACTGACTAGCTATATGCATAAAACTGAAACTGGACCCTTTCCTTGTACCTTATACAAAAATTAACTCAAGATGGATTAAAGACTTAAATCCATAAAAACCCTAGAAGAAAA